CATATCATTGTATTCCAAATGAAAGGTCCCTGGCTTTTTTTTTTTTTTTTTTGTCTAGGGCCTTTCCTTGCGTGCGTGGTTAAATGGGTGACTTGATGGGAAGTAGGTGGTGCACTTCCTGGAAAGATGCAATGCATATGTGTTGGGTATCAGACCTGAGCCCAGGCCTGTGGAGCCCATTAGAAGAATTTACTTAAATAGTTAAGGTAACTACATTCTGAGGAAAATAATTCAGAAAAATTCCTCTTCAGAGTTCCCTTTTCTTGAGTTAAAATATTTTGAGAGGACATTTCCCACCTCCATATTCTCTGCTATACAATGCAGAGGTAACTGTTGAAGGTAAAGAGCAGAGACAGGGAAAGAAAAGAGGTCTGTCTTCTCCTGGTTCTTATCGCCTTGACCTTTGTACAGCAATGCACTTTAAAGGCCACAGGGAGGAAATGACGAATGTTCTTCTGGGGAAGACATTGGTTAGGAGTATTGAATAAGAAGGGTCTTCTTCTGGACCGGAAAAACTCAGAGCATTGCCACATGACCCCCTCCTGATCCACGTAGAGAAGAGATGAGTGACTGGGGGATCCAGGTGTCCACACAGATGTGCACATTTACTATTACAGCTGTCCTTGCATTTAGGGCGGTGGTGGCACATGCCTTTAATCCCAGCACCTGGGAGGCAGAGGCAGGCTGATCTCTGTGAGCTCCAGGCCAGCCTGGTCTACAGAGTGAGTTCCAGGACAGTCAGAGCTGTTACACAAAGAAACCCTGTTTCTAAAAACCATTAAAAAAAAAGAAAGAAAGAAAAAGAAAACCATATCTGGAACATTCATTTTTTTCCTATCAAACACTTCGCTACCCAAAAGAAAAACACATGCCTGCAAAATGTGAGTGGCAATGAGCCAGGAACACACTGAATCATGGACGGCTGACTGCTTTCCCCTTACATCGTGAGTACTGGTATCTCTCTGTGTAGGTCTTCCCCAAGAGTGGCCCTGGGCTCTACAGCTCAACCACCAAGGCTACAGCCTCTACTGACTTAGGTTCTATAGCTTCCTCTGTATTTCTGAAACCAGTAAGACCAATGCATGCTGGGCTAGCTCCCTAGTTTCTGTCCTTGCCCATCAACTGGACTGTGGAGAAAGGCTAGCTGCTAAGGCAGAAGACTGCAGCATCGGACATGCCTACTACCCAGCTGCAGGTGGAGAAAGCCTAATTACCCAGGCTTAAACAGAGGTAACATTTGTCATAGCTTGCCCCCGGTATGAAGTTAGCCAGCTTGCTTCTAAACGGGAGAAAGAAGGTGCTTGGTGCCTCTTTGTCTCTCCGTGTCCGAACAGTCTCAGCAGATCTTCTTATTCCATGAACTAGGATGGTGTCAAACAGCTGTGGGAAGACTGTAGTGCTGTCTTGTTTACTTTCCTATTGCTGTGATAAAATACTGTGATGAGATTAACGTAAGGGAGATGGGATTGTGGTTTGCAGCTCCAGAAGGGTAAAGTCCATCATGGAGGCAGGGCAGCAGTCAGGGCATGGCCGTGGGATCAGGATGCTGGCTGGCCACACTACGTCTGCACTCAGGAAACAAAGGCAACAAGAAGCAGGAGTGGATTCAAAGCCATTTTCTCCAGTGAGACTGCTCCTTCTAAAGGTTCCTTCCCAACAACACTGCCTGCTGGGGACCATGAGCTCAAGCATTCGAGGCTATAGGTGACATCGCATCTTTAAATTACAACAGACAGGAAGCCTGGCTTGGTGTCACAGCAGTCTTCACCACAAGCTGCATCTTAGATCAAAGACTTATGTCATGGATGGAACCAGTCTACAGGTGGCAGGGCCTGCCAGGCCGTATTTCAGCGCCCGTGACATTCCAGAGGAAACACAAAGGAGCTTGCCAGTGATAATTCCAACAGGAAATGATTAATGACAATGGTTTTGGGCTCTCACACACAGCACGCACATGAAGCACGATAGCCAAGGTCCCTCAGTTAATAAGGGCACAAATACAGAAATATTACAGTGAGACCATGAGCTAAAAGTGTATAAATAGAGCAGTCTGAGTATGGGCTCCACTGTCTTTCATAATCTCATATTCCTGACTGAAATATCCAAGAAACTCAAGACCACCCAGCAGGCTTCACAGCTTGTGCAACTAGAACTCGGTACCAGCTGAGCATCTGTAGCTGTGTATGTGGACTTTTTGATTCATCCATTCAATATGTGTTTACTGAGGGTCCATGGTGTGCCAACATCCCAACAGTGCAGGAATGGGGTGCTGATGAGCTACACAAGCTTTCGTCTATGGGGTTTGGTTTCTGAGATGATAAGCAGGGTATACATCCTAGTAATCGTGACACATCCTGTGGTGACTCGCCCACAAACTGAGGACCAGCATCATTGTGAGGTCTCAGAAAAAGCTTCCCTTCAACTCATTGGAACTGTAATTTCTACATTTTAGTACTTTTGACATTCTGGGGAAGAAGCTTCTTTGCTCTCCGTGTGTGTGTGTGTGTGTGTGTGTGTGTGTGTGTGTGTGTGTGTGTTTGTGTATGTGTACATGTGTGTGAGGCCTTTATGTATATGTGTACCTGTGCATGTCTGTTTTGATTGTGTGTGTGTGTGTGTGATTGTGTGATTGTGCATGTTTGTATGTGTGTGTGTTACTTCTGGAATTACCATGACAGACTATCTGACAGAAACATCCCAAGAAAATGGTTTGATTTGGCACAGAGTCCCAAGGGACATCATGATGGGAATGTGTGGCAGCTTAAGTGCATTTACCTATGGTGGTAAGAGAAGGTGTAGAAGATTGGGTGGCAGTGTCCAGGGTGATAAGAGAAGTAATAGAGGCTTATCTGCCTCTTGTCCATAGTGGTAGAAGCTTGCTGTGTGGCTTGATCACGTCTCGGTGGATCAGCAAGCAGAAAGCTCAAACTGGATGTTTGAAGACACATAATACTATTAAGTTTGTGCAGGTTGAAGCTGTCCTTGGAGGCGTCAGGAGCATCTGTGTCTGCCTGCAGACCTTGCAGACATCCTCTGCACTTACTTTCTCACAAAATGGCATTTGGGGCCGGCTTCATGCTTCACACCTTAGATGGCCCAGCGCAAATTCGACTAAGGAAAGGACTGTGACTTAAGGAATGAACTCTGTCCCCATGGAAGGAATCATGGTGGCAAAGCTTAGCATCTAGATTTTCTTCTCTTGGCTGCAAACAGATTGCAAGGCAATTTGAGACCTGCTAGCCCTCCCTCCAGCACTGTGACAAGACAGAAACATCAGCAGAAGAGGTGACAGATGATGATCCTGAGATGAAATGACAATGATTCTGTCCCTTCTGGATGCCCAGCAATGAAATTCACCAGCAAATTCTTCACGATCATTTGCTGGGCTTTAGTTTCCTCTAAGCTCTGCCTATAGCTTTCTTAAAGAAAAGGCCTTCCCAGAATTCCTAGCTAGACTCTGACCCACTTCTGCATTCTTCCCTCTTTCCCAGACGAGTCTTCGTTCTAAAATGTCTTGTTTGTCCCTTCCACAGATGGTGCTGGGGAAACTGGACACCCATACGCAGAAGACATATACCTCTCTAACCCTGGACAAAAGTCAATTCAAAACGAATCAAAGACCTCAGTGTGAAATGTAAAATCTGATACTTCTAGAGGAAACCTGGGGGAAATACTTCAAGATAGAGCCACAGGGAAGTAGGTTGTTTCTCTCCTGCTTTGTAGACATTTATGTAAAACCTGCAAAAGCCTCCTCTTCATTCTAAGAAATAGTCTTCTGACATGTGTGTTTGTGATTGTGTGTGTGGGCAGAAGCATGTGTGTGGAGGCCAGAGGATGACATCCGGTTCCTTTCTTACCAGCTCGCTCCTGGAGGCAGGCTCTCTGAGTTGAAGCCAGAACCTGCTGACATGGCTACTCTGGCTAGTCACTTTGCTTCAGGGTCTCCTGTCTCACTCCCAGCTGCTGGGTTTACAGGAGGGCCAGCACACCTACCTCACATTTAAGTGGGTTCTGGGGATCTGAACGCTAGTCCACACACTTGCCTGGCACATGCTTTGGTTAGCTGAGGTATCTCATTAGCTGAGAAGTCTCCTGAGACCCCTCTTGCTTTGTAAGCAACACACCACCCCCCCCACACGCACAAGGCATGGCATACATGTGAGGTAAGAGCTGTCTCCTTTCACCATGTGGGCTTCAGTGGGGGAACTCAGGTCTCCAGGCTTGTGTGGCAAGTGACTTTACCCATTGAGCCACCTGGCCTGCCTCCCTAAGCAATGCTTTGTTTTGCTTACACTCAACACATTGATTCAAACGCCCAGGGTTTCCTGAGAAATGAAAGCAGATGCAGGACTCAAAACAGGAGGGCTGTTTTTTCCACTACATAGCACGGACTTGGCAGGGCAGCTTATCACCTTGAACATTTACCAGAAACAGGTCTCAGTGGGAGAGTGCTTCAATCCAGCACTCACTGAGGCATCTGGAAAACCACTTCTGTCCCATCAAGGTGAAGGCAGCTCACCAGGGGTGCTCTGTAAAGGAATGAAAATCACCGAACCCCAGTGAGAAGAAAAGTAGAGACAAAGTCACTTCCTCTCCTTCCAAAGTCCTTTGGCACCAGCCTTGACCCTGGCAGAGATATCATGGCTGCCTGTTCTTCTTGAGAAGAAGGGTGTCAGCAGGTGGCTGCAGGTTAATGTTGATGATATGTGCCCCAAGTGCAGTCTCCCTCCCCATACTCAAACCAGTAGCTCACGGGCTGAAGTTCCTTTCCATAAGCCCAGAGAGAGTGGGATCCACGATCTGACTCTGGCCCTTTGGCATGCTGCAAGCATGTGGCTGTCTCCACAGTAGGGCTCTTCTTAATTTATTTCTCAGGAATTTCTCAGAAACTGCATTAAATCAAACAACTGTGGTCGTATTACTGAGGTCCAAGTAATTCCATGGGAACTTCCAAAGACTAACTTCCAGAGAACACACAGAGTGCCAAGTGTTGATGTATATGTGGTTAGTCAGTGCAGTTCTGGCTCCCCTGTGAATGTGATTCACTGCACTGACATATTCCAACCATGGCTATAGCACAGGGCTCAGAGACCAAGATCCCTGTGCACTGTGAATGGACCTGTGAAATGAGATGGTCCTTTCTCTGGAAAGGCTGTCAGATGAGCCGAATGGACCTCAGAGGAGCAGAATGGATCTCAGAGGAGCTGAATGGATCTCAGAGGAGCTCAATTAATCTCAGGTGAGCTCAATGGATCTCAGATTGGGCGTGAGGTTTCCTTTGGTGAACAAGACAACAGAATTAGTTTCTGTGGGCCTGTTTATTAGGGAGTTTCAGAAGACTTTAATAACTTCAGGTAATGTGACTTCTATCTCTGTCAACATAGTCTCAGGTTTGTTAGGTCATAATGTATATCAATCTTTAAAACAGAAGCATAATTGCTGTAACAGTGTCAGGCCAGAGAGATTCAGTATCTCTCAACATGGTGGTGGTCCTACTGTTTAGAATGATTCAGCAGCTTAGATGCTGTTCCCAAGGGCTCCCTGATGTGAGTAGAGGACTAGTGGTGTGTGTGTGTGTGTGTGTGTGTGTGTGTGTGTGTGTGTGTGCTGCGCTCATGCACATATGTGCATGTGTATCTGTGTATGTGTACATGTATGTTGTGTGTGTATGTGTGTATGTATGCATGTGAGTGCATTTGTGTCCATGTGTGCTTGTGTTTTCTTGTGCATATGAAAGTTAAAAGTTGATGTCTTCCTCAATTGCTCTCCACTTCAGATTTTGAGACAGGGTCTCTCGTAGAAGCTGGAGCTCAATGATTGGTCTAACTGACTAGCTAGCAAGCCCCAGGGCTCCTCCCATTTTTAGCCACCAATGCTGAACTTGCAAACAGTACAGCCATGCCTGGCTTTTTGTTTGGGTGCTAAACGCATGTCCTCATACTTTCCTGGACAGTGCTTTACTGTCGGAGTCCTTTCTCTAGCTCCCTGTTGAAGGTTGTCTTGAGTAACCCTGGGTGACTCTGGTAGGTAGTGGCCACTCACCAGGTAGCTCATGAGTATCTTATTGCTTTAGTGACACATGCAGTTCAATTGGTGCAAACCGTGGAAGGTCAGCTTTACTTTCCTTGATAAAGTTGAATAAATGAATGGATGATTTAGATTCTGAAAACATGTTAACAGACATTCATGTAAGTTTTTGTGGGGGAGTCTGGTTTACTCAGTCTTCTGAGCTTTAAAAGGAGGCTCCTAGTAGGCTGGTAGTTACACTGTGGCCATTTGCTAAAGTAACCAGAGAGTATAAAAGATTCTAGCTAAAACCATTAGGAACTGACATTGAGAGAGGCTATAACACACACTCCTCCAGTCATCACTCCAAAGAATAGGCAGATCTCTTTCTTTTCTCTCTCTCTCTTTCTCCCTGCCGTGTGTGTGTGTGTGTGTGTGTGTGTGTGTGTGTGTTTCTCTTCTCCTTTAGTTTAGATACCAGCTCTAGACAGTTTCACACAGTCCAACCATGAGATCCAGACACTAATAAAAGCCTGGGATGTGCTGACTAGATTGTCCCGTTGGCAGACAGAGGCCTACATTCTGTCTCCAGGCCTCCCTGGGGCCCTACAGCAAAAGGGGATGGAACGCAGGTTTTGAGGTTTGGAAATTATAAAATATGGCCTCAAAGTGACCACCATGCCAGAAACTTTCATGTCTCTCTGCCTCATTTAATATTCCCAGTACTTGTGCCTGTGTGTGTGTGTGTGTGTGCGCGCGCGCGTGCATGTGTGCTCATGTGTGCATGTATGTGCATGAACACCTACTCCATTGCTCATTAATGACAATTAAGATAGACAGTAAATACCTGTCCTATAATTTAAGGTGATAGTAAGCTTGGATGGGAGTGAAGCAATGTGGGGGTTGGAGGCAGGTGGAATGTTGGGCTACAGTAAGGATGACACTCATTGAAGGACTCACAAAAAGATGAGGTACTGCCAGAACCAAGAGTGGAGATGTAAGGGGGGGATTGGTGAAAGAAATCTTCTAGCAGATAACTGTAGAAGCAAATGCCTCAAGGCAGTGAGATATTTAATATTCCAAGCATACCACATAGTTCAGAGCTTCCACTAGACCAAACAATGGTGCTTGGAGGCAGGAGGCAGGGTGCACCATATATAACTCTGGCTACAGCCTTTGGAAATTGGGGGGGAGGTGTCTTCTGAAAGGGTGAGGGAACTTTCTATAATTTTTTCAAAAGAAACAAAACGTTTGCTTATTGAACTACAGTGGTGGTGATTACGATTCTGAATTTTAAACTGTAGTTTTAAGAAAATGCTTTGGGGCTATCAGTGGTTAAAAGCACTTACTGCTAATCCTGAGCAACTTGAGTTCCATCCCTGGGACCCGTGGTGAAAGGAAAGAAGCAACTCCTAAACATGTTGTTTTCTGACCTCTGTGCACAAGCCACACACACAAAGGCAATAATTGTTTTTAGAAAAGAGAAGAAGAAATGCTTTCATTGTGGTGGTTACATAGCACGATTTACCATACTGAAAATCTGTCATAGCTCTTGCTGGGGAGTGAACCGAGAGCTGTGTGCTTGCTAGGCAGACACTCTGCTAGGATGCACATGTCCTGTGAAGCTGCTGTATGGGCAAATGTGTTCTAACTTTCCTGAAGAGTCAAAGAGAAGGATGGTAGTGAGGACAACTGACCCCCTGTATGTGAACAAAAGAGTCATTGTTAATTCCTGCTACGTCCGATGTCGTCCACAGCTGCAAAGCTCCAGAGTCTCAGAAGCAGCCTCTTCTGATAGATACCTGGAGCTCAGATCCACCAGTGAGACAGAATTTCTATGAGTGTGGTGGGACAGTTTTTCTGTGAGTGTGGTGGGATGGATTTTCTGTGAGGGTGGGGGTTGATGGCCAATCCTTGTGTATTAATTCACGGAGAATATCTAGACATAGGAAATTCCATCTTCTCCCTGTCCTCTGGGGACTCCACAAGCCCTGGTCACTTAAGTACAGCTGAAGCACACAGCAGGGACCTGGGCTCCCCAGTGAGCAGGTCTCATCTTATCGGTATCACAGTGTGCAATTGGCCATCACTGCCCTTTCTTGCCGATTTTGCTTGTTACATGACTCTGTGTAACTAAAACCAAATTCAAGGACAACTTCTTGCAGTCCTAAGTCAGAGAGAGGTAGCTTCACTTGTTCAAATGGCTCCTGTCTTTCAGTGCCTCCAGATGGTTTTCAGAGAGAAAAGAACACTATGTTTTGTCCTTCTCCAATGCTGAGCTATTTACAGGAATCTAAAAATCGGACAGTAATCATAAGGTACCGTGTCAAGAAATCTCATTTTTGGTTCCAAATAACTCAATGAATAAATATGTTCCCCTATCTAAGTGTTCTAAAGTCTAAAAGTACCTAATGTGGTAATTAACTGTGTTATTTATCCTTGTTTGTCTGAGCAGGGTCTAGGCTGGCAATCCTCTAACCCCAGGTTTCCAAGCGCTAGGAACACAGGCTTGAGGCACCATGCCCAGTTTACTTGTGCATTTTATATTTTTTCTCATGACAAAAATAATAGACACTCTATGTCCTGGAGGAAAGGAGGAAGAAATGATGGACGGATGCTGGGCAGAAGGGTGAGGAAAGAAAAAAGAAGAGGGAATGGGGGAAGTCTCTGGACCACAACTGATTTTTAAGTTCTTAATTTCTTTCCAGTTAACTTTTAAAAGTTCTTTCACAGATAAATCATATGTAATGTACAATTTCATCTTTTCTTCTTAAGAGCATACCACACAGTCATGCTTTTAAACCTGTTTAATAAGCCAAACTGTACCCTAAGCAATACTTGGAAGGCTAATGCGTGACAGTATTACTACATACCCCACAAAAATCTCTGCCGTTAAAACTTTTTGTTTTTCCTGCTGTTTCTTGTGATATGTTGCAGGGCCTGGCCTTGCAAAAAGTGCAGCCTGGGACTCTGGCTGCTGTGCTGGTTATCTGAGCTCTGGCAGGAGTCTCAGGAAGTGAACTCGGAGTGGCCTTTCAGCTGACAGCCAGGATGAGGGGCGGATACCAGAGCAGTTTCCCCCAGGCAGAAGAAGCCTTAGGAGATGGCCACATAGCAGGAGTGGCAACCAGTAGGGCCAAGAAAAAGTGGGGAGGTGCTAGCTTGGGCTGACAAGCACCCATCAGGAGGCAGAGGCAGGAAGCACCTGCTGCCAGGCTGGGACCCCAAAGCCCATCATAGAATATGCCAGGGTTTTCAGTTTAGAGGCAGCCGCCTGCTCTGGAGGTCATCTCCACGCAGCCGGGCTTAGACAGTCTGCAGCCTAAGAAAGTCACTGGCAGCCTAACCGTAACCCCGCTGCCAGCGACTTTCTCACCCTCCGCAAGCATTTCCTGTTGGGTGCCTTTCCAGGTAAAACAGAATGCATGCTACTGGTTGCTTTTCGTATGTGCCAGGCAGTGAAGCAGTCCCACTGTATCTGTCAGGCACTCATGCTGTCCGCCCGATCCCCTCAGTCACTTTGTCCCATACCGTCACCCATGGATGAGAGGATACAGGCACAGAGGGTGCTGTGGGTAGCAGCCAGCACACGGAAGCTGCAGATCATACTTACCCCTCTATTTTATACCCAGTCACTCTGCTCTATACTCTGTAAGCAATCCATAACGGGCAGGGCTACGTCCCTGTTTTACCTCCCAAAGTGCTCACTGATATGATGAGTTTAAATCAACCTGGCTTAAGTTGCATCAAGACTTGTTGAATATTATTTTTGTTTACTTAATTTCACTATCGATCCATACATACTTAAAAACTGTGATAAAAGAAATACAACAATTGAACACTTCGTTTCAATACTCTGGAATTCTGCTTTCTTTTCCATTCTATACAATGTTATGATGCCATTTATTTTTAAAACCTTCTAAAATTATTTGATTTGTTTAAAAAAAACATATCTTGGTCTTTTGGGAGCACATATGCCTGTGCACCACATGTGTTCTGGGTGCTTGCAGAAGACAGAAGAGAGCAGCAGAGCCCCTGGAAATGCAATTGCAGATGGTTGTGAATCACCATGTGGATGCTGGGAATCAAACCAGGGTCCTCTGGAAGAGTAGCTCGTGCTCTTAACCACTGAGCAGCCTTTCCAGTCCCTTGGTGCCATTTTTTAATGCGTGAATTCTACACTTTGCCATTAGTGGACTCTTGGGATGTGTCTCTCACATCATTTTCCTTACCACCTTGAAACCACATATCTAATGACACATCAGCGGCGGAGTAGACCTCTTCCCCACAACTTTGCTTCCTGCCACTTCAGTTACCCCCAGAAAACAGGTCCTGAAAATAGTAAATGGAAGACTCCAAAGTAAACAATTTGTAAGTTCTGTGGATGGAATTTGTTTTACTACAATGTGTTGTTGTAATTATTATATTTGGTTATAAATCATTGCTGTTAATCTCTTACTGAGTCTAGCTTATAAATTAAATCTTATCATAGTTCTCTCTGTATAGTAAGATACATTCTATGAGGTGTGGTATTCTCTGTGGTTTCAAACATGTACTCAGGGACTTACCAAGCATCCCCTGAGGATGGGGAGGTACCACACTGTAATTCCCAATTAAACTCATAATTCAACAGTACTTCTAGTGTGGCCTGTGTGGTAGATCTGAGCCCTGCCCTTTTCTTCATTCCTACACAAATATTTATTTTTTCTGCAAGTACACAGTCGCTTCTCCTATAAGATGCCTTAGTTTTAATATATATTCTGATCTGATATGCTCCCGACTTTGATACTATTTGCTTGTTTGTTTAAGATTTATTTACCTGCTGGGCGTTGGTGGCGCATGTCTTTAATCCCAACACTCGGGAGACAGAAGAAGGTGGATTTCTGTGAGTTTGAGGCTAGCCTAGACTACAAAGGGAAGACAAACCAAAAAAATTACTTATTTAATATGTATGGGTGTTAAGTTTTCATGTATGTAGCTGCATGCATGTAGTGTCTGCAGAGGTCAGAAGAAGGCATCAGATCCCCTGGAACTGGAGTTCCAAAGGCTGTGAGCTGGGAACTGAACCTTGGTTCTCTGTGAGAGCAACAGGTGCTCTTACCTAGGCATATTGTCCTTCAATAGACAAAAATACTGCGCTACATGTCTGTAGACCAGGCTGGCATCGAACTCACAGAGATCTGCCTGCCTCTACTGTGCTACATGTCAATGACAGTTTTATCTTTATTCAGCATAGGGTCGTTTTCTTCTGAGTAGCCTTCCATCATCTCTTCAGTATTCAATTTCTCATTTCCTGGGTTGGATACTTAATTTCATAGGCTCTTTGTATCTCAGGGTTCAGTCAAAACTCAAGAATCAAAGCAGAAAAATCAACAACAAAAACAAAAAACAGAACACTGAGGTCTGGGAGGTGACTCAGTAGTTAAACGTGCTTGCCATGTAAGCATGAGGACCTAAGTTCAAATCCCCAGCACCCATGTAAAAGCCAGGCATGGCAACAGGTCTCTACAGTGCCTGTGCTGGGGGACAGAGTTCTGTGGATGTGAGGGCTACCATAAACAGCCGTTTTACCCTGGATATGTAGCTCCAGGGACACTGAAAGATCCTGTGTGAAAAATTAGGTGGAGAAGTGACTGAGGAAGACTTTGAACATCAGCCCCTGGCCTCCACATGCGTCTGCATGGACAAGCGCACTCACATACGTGTGCACACATGCACACTGAAGAGAAGCAGAGTGAGGCCTTGTGTAGTCCATGCTGACACTGAGTGAAACGTTAAGTCAGGCGGGAGAATTCAAGTTTGACAATAGTTTTCTCTTAGAATTGTAAAATGTTGCTTTTATGTTTTCTTTCCTATAATGTAGCTGTTAAAAATTCTAATGTCTTTCTTTCTGATAAGTATTTTAAGTGCTAGTTTCTCCTTTCTGGATGTCCTTGGAACCATTTCTCATTCTCATTCTCTTGGGATACCTTAGCACATCACGTTTTTTTGTTTTTTTGTTTTTGACATTGACATTGACCTTTTGACTTACTGTTTTTCAGTTGCTTCCCTAACGACTCCCCTTTCTAGTCTGGACCTTCACAGCCTGCATTCTCAGATACTCCCGGTCAGGTCTTTTCTTTTAGGTAACCTTCTCCTATTTGTTTTCTCTCTTCCTTCTTTCTAGCATTCCAAATAGTTGTCTCCCCTCCCCCATTTTATAAGCAGTCCCTTCTTCTCTTTCTTCTCCTCTCGCTGGGATTTTCTTGACATCATTGTTCTTCTGCCTACATGTTAAATATTTTTATTTCTGCAACAGGATGCTGACTGGGACTTTCAAACTGCCCATGCATTTCAGGAGAGACCCCAGGCTGGCAATGGGAGGCACAGACAGGCAGTCTAGAAGATGCTCAGGGATACAGCTGTTGCCATCACAGGTAACATTTGTAGGAAAAAGCTAAGTGGAGAGTCCAAGTTCAGGAAGTTATTTTATTTTTAATGCCATACTCTGTCAACCATATTATTTTGAATACTTTCTTCCTGCCCTTGAAAGGAACTTGAGCCATATCCAAGCATTAAAAATAGCCTCCCTTCCACAATTGTCTCCACAGACAATCGGGGACATCCGCCTTCCAGGGGTTGCTTTGAGGATGAGTCCATTTCAGCAGTTTCCACGTTTTCACCTGTGCCCGAGGAAACACACACAGCCTGACCAGCAGCAAGGCTTAGCGGGGTCCTCTCAGGTCTCGTTCTGTCTGGTGGCTGTGGCAGCTGCAGAGATGGACCAAGTCAGTGACTGGAAGTTTGGATGTGGACCGAGTTCTCACTTAGTACACATCAACATCACCGTGGCAATGGTGCTTTTTCTTTCTTGCCTCTTTCCTGCATCCTGCTCTTTACTAACACCTGGCATCTTCTAGCTTACCCTAGACTAGACGTTAGGTATTTCTACCCATTTCCTTTGCTGCCTGTTTTCTTTGTCCGTTCACTTCCTTCTGTTTTCTGCTTTATCAAGGCTCTCTTTGGTGACCTTTGACTGTATACAATCACTGCAATGGGAGATACTGGCTTGTGAACATGTATATAGGGAGGTAACTTTGTAGTGAGGCTAATCACACTGAACCCATTTCATTTCTAAGTCTTGTCACAATGACATTCTATTTTGGGGTCATGGTTTGCATTTTTTGTTTTTTTGTGGGCTTTTCTTTGTGGATGTTGAGACCCCCCATATAGGCCCTGTGATCTGTGTCCCCCCAAGACTGCACAGGTATTCTGCAGGTATGCCAAGCTGAGTTTTCCCAGTAATGGACAAGCACTGCCTATTTTAAGTGGCTAAAACAGGTCATGCCTATGGACACTTTTCCCCCATTTCATACACACATAGCTTCGTCTTTGGGGAATTTTAGATACATGAAGAAGACAAACCAAGGACCTCTTGGGCATTTGTCTTGAATAGACTGGTAGTTTATCGTCACTTTTAGGCTGTTATCTTCTGTGTGTGGATGGTAGGGCCTAGTTCCCGGGAGGTCAAAAGAGGCATGTTTTCAGACACACCTCTCTTGTTCTGTGGAGTTAGTTTTGGGATGGGTTTTGTTATGCAGCCCAGGCTCTCCTTGTACCCCCAGGGTCAGATGACACACTTCTGCCTCAGTTTCCCTGTTAGCTAGGACCACATGACATTGGGCCCAGCAGACCCTCTAGAAATGGCCACAGTGATTCCTACCCTTCAGTGTCCTTTCTCATGGTGAAAACAGCTTTGCTTTCTGCACAAGCATGCCCCTTCTTAGTCTGTGCTGTCCCGATCCCTGCGAGGACTGAAGGGACGTGTGAAGTGACACTCTGCCCATGTGCTGTGGCCTTCTGAGATGACGTGGCTTCTGTTCTTGCCTTGAGATCCAGAGAACTCTGCTGGAGAAGGCCAATGGGGAACATTGTGCACCCCCCTCCCACTGATGGGTGGATCGAGCATCTCCTCAGGATTCTCTGACTGCAGGCGGCACTGTGATGACTCCCTCTCTCCCCAGAAACAGGCCAAGTAGCCAACCTGCAGAATCACAAGCTACAGAGGTGCTTGTCTTAATCAGTTCAGTTTGTGCTCGTTTGGTATGCAACAAGAGGTGTCTGCCCTGAGCTCACTCTAGAAGACTCATTTAGAGTCAGAGTCAGGACTCAGAACCCTGGTGCCTGCATTTCACTCTTTAGGCCCTATAGATTCTGAGTCTTAAAGGTTTATTTTTATTATTTCCAGACGTGCGCGTGCGTGCGCGCATGCATGTGTGTGTGTGTGTGTGTGTGTGTGTGTGTGGTTACATGCATGTGAATGCAAATGCCTATAGAGGTCAGAGGCTCAGAACCCCCTGGAGCTGCAGTTATAGGCAGTTTCGAACTGTCTCACACTGAACGTAGGTTTTCTTCAAGACCAGTGCAGGCTCTTAAGCACTGAGCCATCTCTCCAGCCTGATTCTTAAAGAAGACTTTGTCTCCGAAAAGACTAAGAACCATTCACTTCTAGTTAAAGTCGGCCATAACACCAACACAGGTTAGTTTGTATTTATAACAATTTCACATGCTTGCTCTACAGTAAAAACCTGATTACACAATTATACTAAGGAAAAAGATATCCTAAATTTATGGTAAAAGCTTAACACTCCTAGGGTAGGTATTAGGAATGTAGTTGGAAAAAAATAAAGTATGTCTCTCTGTGTGTGCATGTACGTGTGTCCTCTGAATGTGCACATGTGTGTGCATGCATGGTCTCTGTGTAGCTATGAATGTGTGTATGTTTATTCATGTATCAGTGATGCTCTTAACTCAGTAAGAAAATCAGATCCTGTGGGCTAGAAAGATAGTTCAGTTGATAAAACACACACACACACACACACACACACATTCTTGCCGTGCAAGAATGAGAACCTGAGTTTGAGTCCCAGAACCCATGTAAAAAACTGGGAGTGGTAGCATGTGCTTGTTATCCTGAGGTTCCCTAGCATTCAGTGGCTGGTCAACTCAGTTAAGTCAGCAAGGCCCAGATTCCTGTGAGAGACGCTATCTCAACAGAGACCAAACCAAACCAAACAAACAAAAACGCGTTTAACAAAAAACTAAGGTAGAAAACTCCTGAGGAATGACACCTGAGATCTTTTCATATGCATGCACACTCATGTTTACACACATGAAGGTGCATCACACACACGTGAACACAGGAGAAAAGAAAGCTGATCTTGGAAATATGTATCGCAAATGTCCAACGCCACACACACACACACACACACACACACACACACACACACACACACACGGAAGGAAAGCCATCTTGGACATATGTCTAGCACTACTTTGCTGTTGGTCCTTTGACTCTGATTTGAATTTCATTTTGTTTTGTGGTGAGATATATCAATATTTTTTGACAGCCTCATCTCTTCACATCACTTTTAGACCTTTATTTTCAGTATAAAACATATATCAACTCTCACCATATTCACCCATCTCTACACCGTCTACGTGGAGTTCTGCTGGTAGGAAGCTTGCATTCACTTTCTCCCAACCCCCATTTATAAAATACAGTATCCTTTCACATACCCTTTGCCCCCATTCTTCCTGAGGGGAGGGCTTGGGATCTCTCCTCCCTGCTCTGTGGTCCCTCGTGCTGGGCTTTGCTGTTTGGCATCAGGACTCTCTTATCTTCTGTTACCAATATTTTCCTGTTCAGCCATCACCACCTGTTAACGTTTCCATGTGAACTTAAGACATTGTATCAAGTTAACATCCATCTTCAACTGCTGGCTCCATGCCCTGCTAACATCTCTCTTTGTTTTGGGGGGCATAACATGGGGGTATGCAGAAAGAGAGACAGCAGCTTCTTTAAGACCTGAGCTCTCCTGCACAAGAGCAAGGTATTTTTGCATTATTCAGGAGTTATGCTGACTGACAGATTTTCCTCATTTACTCTCTGTTAACTTTACCTCTAGATATTTTTTAATGTTGTTGGTCAGAAAAAGACGATATAATACAAACATTCTGTCAGCTTTTGCTTGTGGAAACAGACACAGCATCCCTGTGAATGCACACAGTGTTTCCCACATTGCAAGGCCACTTTGGTCTCATTCCAACATCTAAACTCATCACATATAACTTCTAATGAGTTCTTTGTCCTGAGGATCTCACTGTAATTGTCCTTGAGTATCTCTAAGCTTGTCCCAGGCTTGTAATGCCTTGCACTGTAAAGTCTGCCTGCTACACCAGGCTGCTGTTGGCACAGGCTGTAATGCTTGGAAACTCATTACTCCCAAAGAGAATCGTCATGTTCTTTTGATGGACTTAAGGAGCTCATAATCTGAAGGCAGATATAAAGAAAAAAAAACACATGTAAGTATCAGTGCTGGGTGGGACCACAAGTGTTCTCAGGTTCAATTCTGTTCAGTAAATCAAAGTGTTTTGAAGGCATTACTTGGTGAGCATCAAGGATTTGTCTGGGACTGCTCTGCACGTCTCAAGACAAAAGGGAGAGTGATAGCTGATGAGTACATCGGGAAAGTCGCCAAGAGAGTTGTAAATCTTTTGTGTCAGAACAAAAGCTCCTTCAGCACTATCTTTTTAAGAGGCATGTTAACATCACTAACTCTACCTGTGAACTCTCTTATAGATGGAAGCCTACAGTCTAAGTGATATAGAACAGCTTAAAACACATGAACTCGGGGAAGCCTGGTCACAGACATGGAGGGAGAGGACAGTGTTCCTTGGCATGCTTTTCTATAGTTGCAGTAATCTAGGTCAATTTGGATGATGATCAGATAGTAAGATGTTAGTGTAGGGAAAACAGTATTTTGTGGAAGGTGATAAAATCTCAGGAGTCATTTCAATAACCACAGAACTTTGAAGCAGGGGATAGTAAGGGTCAAAAGAAAAAGGAAAATATTTCCCAGGTTCTTTATGAACATGCCCTGGCGTTCCAGGATTGCATGAGAGTTGTTGCCGAGTAAAATCCTAAACTTTAGCAACTGGAGGCTCTGAGATTGTGGCAGGGACCTTTTATAGTCAGCGGTATCTCAGCAGCACTGACTTCTCCTATTAACTAGTGGACAGAGGCATCCAGAAGCAATGCAGTGGGCAGTGAAGAATTGTCCACTTTTGTCTGCATTAGCTGATTTCAGAGCATCCGTGTGTTTCAGAAATGGACCTGTCCATCAGCTTCCACCATAAAAGCTAAGTTCCAGTCATCTTATTTTCTCACTTCTTTCTACAATGTATAGTTTCACATTATATTATAACCTTATCAATATGATAATGAAAATTGCCTGAATTGTATCCTAGACAAAGAAACATCCATTGCAGTCTACATAGCACAGTCTGCTAGAAAGATTGCTCTATTCTGGAACATAAAACGCATTAACTGCATAGACAGCAGTCATATCACCATCAGGTTTCCACGACCCACTACAATCCAGGCAGTGTCAGTGTATGCTACCTTGGAGAAAGCTGTCAGAGTACCCTGTGTGCCTAGCATCTCAGTGAACTACATTCAAGTCTACACCTTGCCAGAGTGCCTTGGGTGCTGGCCATAGGTGGATCCTCTGAGCTGTCTCTATGAGCTTGTCTGGGTAGAAAAATGGAAGAAAGAAGTGGCCCACAGCATAGTAAGGTGTATGTAGTTGATGAGGTTGGTGTCTGGGTTACTGTAACAAGATAGGTTCAAGATACTTCAGCCTCTTCCCTCTTCTCAGCACAGCCACAACACAGGAAGAAAGACATGATCTTTCCAGGGGTGAGATGAGTGCTGTTGAGATAAGTCCATGAGGTCTTATTGCCTGTCCCTGAGCTTTTACCCAGGTTGCCCATGGGAATTATTAGACTGTGATGGTCAGATCCCAAGGACCAGACTCAAACAGCAGCCCATGAATCCTATTCTTTATCTCCTTCCAGTCTTTGAAGACCAGAATGTCACCATGCATCTACACCTGTCATTTACCAAACAAGAATTGCCTTTCATCTCCTGGATCTGAGAAGTCTAATAAATTGCTCCAATATATCACTAGATAATTGAAAACCATCTTTAATATGATAGTCACCAAGAATGAACAGCAAAGTAAGTCTGTCTTCACTCTGTCTTATCATTCAGCACTCAAACATAAAGAGAGAGTCCTGGAAAAGGGAAAACCTGACCAGCAATTCCTGGGCATGAATGTTGAGTGTTGGAGAATGGTCATGTGGACCAAGGACATGAGGAATGGACAATAGGGGAAAACAACCCTTTGGTGATATTCTTCATTTTAAGATGCATCAATAGGGTTTCAAGGTGACAATTTCTGAATGTAGGGGTCATTCACTATTGTACTAGACATTGCATTGCCGGTGTGTGGTTGGGTGCAAATCAAACTTTCAGGAAAACCAAAGAATTCTACCTTTTCTCCCACAGAATCCCCTCCACAATAAAGATGGCGGCAGGTCCCTGTCATTGTTCTAGATAATGGATTACCTACACATCCATTTCCAAGTGTAATGACACTCTTGCTTATTAAAGGCCTCTCAGCTGAAGGGGCAGAATATTATGAACTGGCCGAGCCATTCATTTTCTTGAATATGTTATTCAGTATTTTATGCTAAACCAGCAATACACCATCCATTTTAGTACAATGATCCTTATGTTCAATAAAATTGAAGTGTCGCATCATAAATCATTAGAGTCATTTATTTTACATTAGACACATTAGCCACTATATTCCATAATCTATTACAATAAGGTGGATTTAAATGTACCCCAAGGAACTGCAGTAATAACTCCAGAACCAAATATAGCAATTTATGGATAAAATATGCTTAACCTAAAACTGCACTAGCTTTTGTGATGGCTGTGAACTCTGAATGGAATTTAGTGCTGATGGGGACTGAACTCAGCCACACATAAAGAGAGAGAAAGTGGGAAATGACAGGCCTGCCTCTAATTTTCTGTTCATTAGTTTTAGGAATGTACAAGATTAATAATTACACAATTCATCAGTGAGACACAAACTTTGTAGGAGCAACTCACGCTCAGCTAAACCATCTCCTCAATACTCCGCATTCAGGATCATCAATGGCCTCTCAGTTCTGGTTCTTCTCCCCAGCAGTGTCCTGCAGCTCTGCCTCATTCAGAAGAACTCACGAATCCTGACTCTGAGCAGACTGGAAAGGGCTACCAAGACGAGGCTTTTATAGCAGAGATAATTTTTTTGTTTGCCTCTTTTCAAGACAGGTATTACTACACAACTTGGGTTTGGTTGCTTTGTAACTATGTTTGGTTTGGAACCCATGATCCTTCTGCCTCAGTTTCTCCAGTCTTGATCTTATTTGGCATATACCAGAGAATTTGTAACTCACCTTCTAAGTTTATGGGTGCTTTCTTTTAATAACAAATGAAATGACAATTATAAATACTTGGAATTTAATGAAACAGTTTTCTCCTATCATCCTCTAGATAATGGCTTTTTCATAGCCCTTTGACATTGTGTATACATCTCTGTTTGAAATGCTTATCTGAATATTCTAATATTCGGTTACTTCCCTGGCTTAGCATGCCTCCCCTTAGTCATGGAGAGTTTTCTTACTTGTAGTTATAGGTACATGACACCTCCGTACTGCTGACATTCCAGTCTTAAGTCTTTGAGATTTAATCATGAGATGAGACTTGCCTGTTACACTCCTAATAGAAAGCCTTTGATGTTCAGGGTTATTAAAAAGCATACTCATTGCTGTGTTTAATTTCAGACAGCTCGGCCCTCAATTGGCGCAATCAGTTCTTATTTATGAAATTAGAGAACAAGTTGAATTTCCCCTTTCAAAGACATCCATCCGTCCATGCATCCACACACAGCTCATCTAACTATTCAGTGGTCCAGTCTTTAACCAGTAATTCATGCCTTCCCCATGGAGACACACAGTGGCCACTATAGCACTCAAGGAATAAGATGGAAATTTACTTTGCAACAAGGTATTTTAAATAATTGTTTGATTGCATTTTATGCAAAATATTGCACGTTACAACATTTATAATTGTTAAATACCAAACACTTATAGTGAATGTTAAGCTCAGCACTGACTCACACACACACTGGGTGCTGGGGGAAAGAAAAATCTGTACGTGGCTTCATGTAACCTGTGAGTCTTGCTTTCCCTGGCCTCAGTCCTTTATTGATACAATGAGGGGTCAAATAGACAGTCTCTAGGTTTTTGTCTCAGATTCTAAGAGGGGGAAATTTGTGTTCATTGTTTCATTAGGAGAGAGAGAGAGAGAGAGAGAGATAGATAGAGAGAGAGAGAGAGAGAGAGAGAGATAGATAGAGAGAGAGAGAGAGAGAGAGAGAGAGAGAGAGAGAGAAGCATCCATCCCTGCCACACTTGCTACGGCCTGTGTCAGCCTTGCTTTCTTCGTCTTCCTGGATTGTATCATGCACCCAGGTGTCCGGCTCTCCCTAAGTTCTCAGCAAACAGTGTCTAACCTTGCAGCATCCTGTGTAACCCTCAGCATCAGCACCCACACTCTCCTCCTCTCCCCAGTGTGCCAGGTTATTTGAACTAAAGATTGTCTCCCCCAGGCATCCTTCTCCAAATGAAATAAAGCTTCATTTTCTGTTCCTCACTCTGATCCAATTGGATTACTTAGCTTAAAACATTTAAGGGCACCGCTTGGTGCCATTTTTTATACTCTGGCCCTAGTGGATCAGGATGGTGTTCATCTACAATTGAGGCTTCCCTGTAATACTACCTGCCATTGTTTGTTTGTTCTGTCAATTATGGAGAAAAATGATACTCCTTATCTCTAGGTAGATAGAATAAAGTTTATATAAACACACACTAAAGACAGAAAAACAATGGTCCCAGAGTGACCCCTGGGCTCAATCATGCTTGGTATACAAGGCTTACTGACAACAATAGGTGTGTGTGTACTCGAGTGCACACACACACATACACACAGAGAGAGAGAGAGAGAGAGAGAGAGAGGGAGGGAGGGAGGGAGGGAGGGAGGGAGGGAGAGAGAGAGAGAGAGAGAGAGAGAGAGAGAGAGAGAGAGAGAGAGAGAGAGAGAGAGAGAGAGAGAGAGAGACCATCTTGAGATCAAGTTTAGACACAGGGTAAGAACCTCTAAGTAAATCATGAGATCCAGTCTTAGGAACACAGCTTTCTTTTGGTTGATCCAGCTGAATGAGCTGAGCACAGCAGCTGGCTGACTGTTGTGGGCTGTCTGCATCGGGTGAGATGCTGGTGGAGATAACCACACACAGAAGCTCATAGTGGGGCCGGAGGGGTGAAGGAAGAGGTGTTGTTAGCTGAGATGCCAGATGACTCCCCCTTCTTTTCTGCACATCTTCTTAATCAAATCAGGTTGGTAGAAGAAGTAGATTTATAAGACGGGCTCATGTTTCAGGACCTTTTCTTTGTGGGGCCTTTCTAAGGCTTGGGTAAGAGCTAGCAAATTCATATATGTGATCACCTGATCGCAACTGAGAAAGGACAGGATTTTAATTCAAGTGACTATGGCTATCTATCTGTATGCTGACATTCCCTGCAGCATATGTCCGTCTGGGTGATCTGGGGCAAGCGGGGCTGAGCAGGGCTGAGCTGGGCTGAGCTGAGCAGGGCTGAGCGGGGCTGAGCAGGGAGGGTCTCTGCAGTTCCTTACTGACAGGTTGTGGATATGGCCCATAGTAATTTGTCTTAGGCCGTTTGTCCTGGTCAGCACAGGAGTGAAGGCTGACCTGGGTTTCAGGATAGCAAATTCTAAATGTTCTGTCAGACATTCAGGTTCAGCCAGATGTTAAACAGGTTTCCTCCTAAAAGAGAACACAGCAGCTCACAAGTGCCCACTGTGTTCCTGTCCATGGCACTGACTTTGGATGTCTTTGCGCTAGGGTACTAAACCATTGCAACACAGCAGCCTGGCATTGCCTTGAAGCCTTTGAATGTTTTCCACTGCCAACTAACCTGACAATTTACATAGAAATTTGAAATGCTTCTCAATCACTCCAACAAAACAGCGAATTTAGGAGAGACTGAACCATGTTTCTTCTTTTTCTATAGAAAACTTTCTCAGCAGAAGCAACAAAGTTTAAAGAAACTTCCAAAGGCAAAAATTCAAAGAGCTATAGATATTTTTTATCTTTTCTAATTTTTCCATTCTAAATAGTTTTCGGGATTTATAAATTACGTTTTCTTTTTCCTCCTGAAAAACAAAAGCTCTCTTTGCACTTCAATTCTATTCCTTTTTGCATTTATAACTTTGTGTTGACTTTAGTAAAGGTTCATAATTTCATGCCCTACTAATCTATTAAACTGAGAGCCTGAGAAATGAATTTCATCATGGCAAAACTAAGGAAGGTATGGATCTAAGAGCCAGTAGACTGAAGGCAAGCCCTGGAGTAGAGACAAGAACTCACTCACGCTCTGGGAAGGCTAGAGAGGCAGGCTTGGAAACTTCACAACCAGAGACCGTTGTAGACAAGACAAGACGACTGGGGGTGTCCTACCTGTCTCCAGCTAGGGCTCAGATCAAAGTCCATGGCCTCCCGCTGAGACCATGTGTTGATGTGGTATGAATGGTAGCAGGACCCGTCTGCCAGGGCTCTGCTTGGCTCCCAAGCCATGGACACATTTCTAAGACTACTTCAAACATGTGACTTTATGTTTGATGGAATGGTCCAGGGACACTTGCTGATGCAGGGTGAACAACAAGTAAACCTCGTGCCCAAATGATGGGAACTTCCAGGGGCTGAAACCACCTGAGTGTGTGGTTGAAGTCATACAAAGTGTGAGCATCTGTCAGATGGGCTGAGCTGTGCTACGACAGCAAACAGCTCCAAATCTTCACCCCTGCCCGATGCATCATTGCCATACCGAGTTAGCGGGGAGCTGCTGTTTGTCACCTGAGACTCCAGCCAGCGAAAGAGCCACTATGGGTCAGCTATACCACTGAGAAGGAGAGTTCTGGAGGCTGATGCCCAGTTGCCTGGCCTGGAGATGAGGACAATGATTCGCTCAGAGTTCAGCACACACCTGAGTCTGACCCCATCCCAGCGGTCAGTCCAGGGCACTGCAGTCATCATACCCCAAGAACAGACTGTGTGGAGGGGAGCCTGCAACGTACAGGGGTTACCTGCTCTCAGTCTCATTGCCGCTATTTAAAGTAGACTGCAAGGGTCTGGAAGGAGCTGCTCCACACATGCGGCTGTAGGGAAGCCATATTCAGGCTGCAGCCTCCTTCCTTCTTAGATGAGAATCATCATACGATGTTAGAGGACCAGACTCCATGGAAACAGGGGCCCAGTCCAAGAAGGAAAGGCAGGGTGAACAAGCACATTTTAAATGACATTATCAGAAAACACAGGAGCATAGCAGCAAAGGGTTTTGGTGACTTAATGTAAAGTCAATGACAGTGATGTGTGGAGTTAATTTTTAGTTTCTATTGATAGACGTCTAATGTGCTGGAGGATGGAGGTGATAAGCATCACACTTTGGTAGGCTAGCACATGGCTTGGCACCTGAATGTCGGCTGATGTATTCAGAGAGAGACTGGATACTAAAGGATGCCACACTTCATAGTGGAGAGCTGAGGAAATAAACAACAACACTGGATTTGAGAGGGAAGGCATTCAGATTGAGAATAAAACCACTTTCCAATACCGGGAGGTGGGGCGGTACATTGGCGAGCACCCCACACAGCTGTGTGCCTGTCGAGCATGGGGCATTACCAAGGGAAGGAACCTGTGAGGATCTACCTGTTCCTCAGTCCCAGGAGGAAGGCCACTAGAACTCACAAGATGTACAAAGCATATCACAAACACGGAAATGTTGTCAGGACGTTAAGTGGCCAGTCATCTAAGCATTAGGTTAGGGGCTTCTAAAATTTCACAGCACTAAACACGTCATGATTTCTATAACATTTACCCACTCCCATTCTTCTGGTTTGAAGTGCTGCAGTGGCCACCCCTGGACACCAGAGCACAGGGGAACATTCTAGAGAAATTTAACTCCACAGACCAAGGATCAGTCAACCTGCTTTTGCAAGTGGCAAGACAGTGTTTTCAGCTTTTCTGACCTTATGGTCTCCATGGAAACATTCTTGCTGACAGCAAGTTGAAACAGCCATCACTAATAAGGCAACTTGATTGACAGATTATGTGCCAACAAGACTTTACTTACAAAAGTAGATATTAGGTAGTATTGGTTCATGGAGTGCAGTTTGACCGCCCCGCTGTGGACCTGGAGGGGAGTTCAAGCTGATGGAGCTATTATCTGGGAAGTCTGAGAATCCTCCCCATTCTAGTGACCGAAGCAAAACAGCAAAGATGGAGTGGTGTAGGGCCGCTCAAGTCTTAACAACGATAAGGAAAGCAAATAGGCTCTGGCTTAGCAAGCAGCAGGACCACCCTGAACCCGGCACATATACTTGTGAGAACGGATTACAAGTACAGAGGTCTGATATGTATGCGTTTCTGGCTTTGAAAGGACTTTAGGAAGTGGGGGGCGAGGGGACAGTCCTATGTCCAGGCTTCTGGAGCCTAGACAAGGACAGAGCATACATCCAGTCCTGCCTCCACCCCCCAAGGGGGAAGTTCAAACAAGCCATGATCAAGGAGACAAATGCCTTTTGATTTGAAATAAGAAAAATGTTCATCTCACCCCACTATGAGCATGTTTAGTTCATCACCAGGCATTATTATAATGATATGCAAATTGTGGAAAAGGCAGACATCTTCCCAACTATGTTTTCATTAAAGATTCAGCGTGTTCCCCCCCAGAATAATAGCAAATGACATGCGAACTTCTTATGAACTATAGGTCATGAAAGGATTTGGTATTGGCATTTTAATCTAAAAAGTCGTGTGCCAGAAAAATCAATATGTTTCAGTTGCAGCCCTCGGATGCAATTTTCCTCATGTAACAGGGTCCTTTTCTTTCGTTCTTTCTTTTTCTTTTCCAGCTAAGTCTTTTTTTTTTTTTTTAAGAATGAGTAATTCCTGGTTTTTCTATGAAACAAGCTGCTGTATTATAAGGTAATGACATCAATAACACATTACATGTAAACAGAAAATGAACAAAAAATCATTCAAGGCCCTTTTTGAAACTGGAGTCCCTTTCATCAGCCCTATTACAGGCTCCATTCACATTATCGGATTGAACCACCCTGCATAACCGAGGTGCTGACAAGTCCTGATTACCAAATAACTCCTGGATCCCTTTCAGGCAGGTTCACCAAGAGGACAGGAATAGCAGGCCTTCCTGGGGGGTTGCTGGCTTGCCGCAGGGGCCCCATCAATGAAACTCAATGTCGTCACTCCCCTGC